GCAAACAGATGAAATGAAATACCCTAACCGTGCATTTCCTTCCTCAAGTGCGAAATGAATCAATCACCAACGGTAGTGATCACAGCACTGTAAAGTCAGAGGATGCTAGAGAAATTATTTAGATATGACATTGTCGGTAATACGCTTTTGAACGTGAGAACAAAAAAGGGCAGAGCGCCTACAGAAAATACTGAAGAAACGCACGGTGTACATTGTGGTGAAAAACATAAAAAGGTATAGAGACTGTACAACCGAGAAAAGTGATTCTTTTCGGTAGTAGTAGTAGTTATGTCACCGGTTATAATCTCGAAATCAGTATCCCTTTCGATATACAGCGTTATATGGACTGATTGCTTTCTAATGACAACGTCCATTTTGATGTTCCATGAGGCCTCGAAACCACATCTGTTCTTGAAGAAAACATGCCATGGAAATCTGCATATCCTCAACTGTGCTGTATTTGAATATTCTTCATTTCCTAGTTACTAGCCATTGTATCAGGTGTCTTCATCCTTCTAATGACGCTGTTGAAATGAACAAAGTGGTTTGTTAAGGTCAGCCTTCTAGGGATAGCTCACTAACCAGTTGTCTAACCGATGGCTCAGTTAAATGACTAAGAATACTAAGAGTATTGAATTTGGAATAGTTCATTCGATTATTCATAGGCACTGTTAATGGCCATCACCCATGTAGCTCAAGAGTGTGGGTTTGAAGTTCCGACCATAATGTTCGCGGTTCGCGTCCTGACACGGGCACAAAAAGTATGCATTGTTAACAGGACGAAACAACTGTCCAGTGCTCTTTGTTGGTCATCACAAATCTTTCCATGACTAAGAATACTGTTTAATCGCCATATTTTTTGGGGGGACAGAATTTTCATTTAAACGTAATGCTTTTTAAAGTTTTATACTTTGTTTTATTGTTTGCACAGGTAAATACACATGAAAAGATTGCAATTAAAAATGTTCACCTTTACATTGAGAATGAAAATAGGAAAAATGTCAATGAATTTCATTCACAAAATGTCCACTCAGCCTCTTGGGGAACGTCTTCCTTTTATCGGCATGGAAGTGGAATAGAGTACTACAGAATGTTCACAAATAGCTATGCTTGATTCTAGACAGCACGAATCTCCGAAAAGTGTAAAGAAATCCCAATATATTGGAGTAGAGCAGATTGCCGGTGAATTGTATGAAGTTGAGGATGCACTTATATACAAAAGAGCAAACAGGTGAATAATGGAAACTAAATTTCTCAGTGGTTGCAAATTAGGAAGGAATATTTACATATAGATTTTGGTATCCAAGGAACGTTATACATACTTCAACGTACATATATATATATATTATTACATACCTAAATGTGATGAACAGCAGATGAAGCGAACGCCATAATCACGAGGACCTGCTGTTCAGTGGTGGAAACCGACAACATAATCCCCGGGACTCAGAGTGGCGAACCACATAAGACCCCGATAAGTTAGGCGTGGTACTGAACCGAACGACAACAGAGCTGCCTAACACCAAAGTCGAGTGGCCGGGCTCAAACCTCGGACCATAAGGTCCAAAGCGCGCTGGCGACAGCGAATAAACCACTGCGCCACCACTGAGTGATAGAAATTTAGAAACAAATGTCAGTTATGGGTTCCAAGTTGATGATTGAAAGTTCTGATCACTAGAATGATCTCGAAAGTCTAGACAGGCATTCAAAACCCGATGATGATGACCAATTGGGTTAGATAAACTCTCATATTGGTGACAGACAGTGATAAAGTGGTATCAGGTTAGAATGATCAGAGTTGAAGAAACATGAAATCTCATCATCACCATGTTTAGGGATCTAAATGAGTAGAAAGAAAGGTAGGACTAAATATCAGTTTTCCAGAATATACTTTGGCTTCTGTTCTTGTATTCCACCCGGAAAACAGCTTTCCGGATGGGGACGTAACGAAGTGAAGAAACCAAAAGGCAGTTGTTTGAAAAAGAGGAATAGCATGAGTAATAGAATGAGAAACGAGACATTAAGTGAGACAGAAAAAACCAAACGATTTCTTATGGCTATCTACAAACTTATAAATAAAATGATTTGGTGAAGAAATAGTGTCCAGCATACACTTGGTTTCTAAAAAATATCAAAGTGAATCGCTTTTACAAGAATGTAAATGGACGAGATGACGCACTCGACCTGCTTGAAACCAGGTAAAGAAACAGTTATCCGTTGGAGACGATTTTATAGAACTCTTATAAAGAAAAATACACAGCAATGCTGCGAGATGTATGTTCAGGACTGTTTGTATTTTAAAAAAATTTAAACGGCGTTAGAAAGCTTTCCGAATTGAGGATTAAACATGTATGTAAAGCTGTAATAATAGGAATTCTGAATGTGTAGATGAAAAGTCGACTCACGCTTTATTAGCGACGAAAACGTAACATTTAGTTGTGCAGAATTTGATGAAATCGTAGACCCGGGAAGAGTGAGTATTTGGATACTTAAGAATGTATCAGTAGTAGATGAGCACTGGACGGGGTATAACGACAAGGAAACTTTGTAACACCCTGCTATTCTATCCGCCTATATTTACCCTTTTTCACCATAAAACTCAGCTTAACGATATGGTCGATGACGTTCTAAAGCATTCACTTCAATCAGAAACCTACGATTCACGACAATCACAATCCTTAGCGTTGAATTTGGCCAATGTGTTGCGCAAACGTGCTCGGGAGATCTGCACACCGTCGCGGTATAAAATCATCACCCAAGTGCATATTGGATCACGTAAAAACAACTCGGTCTCATTGAGCAGCCGAGCGTTGTGTCATCCGGACTCGGGAGACACGTTTGTGGAGGCAACCTACTCGAACGCGTCTATCTACGCCGTCGCTTTGGTTTATTGTGTTTATTTTGAATAAGTCCCATTTGCACATAATCATCCTTTAGCAGACCAATAACAAATTGTGTTCAAAAGTTCTTCATGACTTACAACATTTGGACTGCAAACACGTGTGCGTATACCAGGTGTCAATGGGCTAGAAGATTAGATGGATTTCATTGTGGCTATGCGCACGCGTAAACAATAGTTTTGTATCACTTCCCACTGAAAAACGTGAGGACTAAACTGAACCAGGTGACTATTTATGCTCAACTGAATGGCCTCAGCATAAAGCAGCAAATAAAATAAACTGCCCATGCCATTTAGTTTCCAAAGTGGTAGTGCGTCTGATATCCTCACCTGGTCTAAGAAATTTAAAAACAGAAGATTTTGACTTGACAATTCGGGTTCACCAGAATGTTAACAGTCAACTGATGCAGTCAAAACAAGGCCGATGAAATGATATTTCAATACTTCTAAGTGAGCAGGAATGAATTGTTTTGAAACGATACCAAAGTGACTTCAATGGCATGGATTAGGCAAATGTCTACACCGTTGAAGACCATAGTAAAGTGTGATTCATTCCACAATTTCTTAATCTATCAGGAAAGCCTTGGGATACCGACAGAGGTGCCTCGATGGGATGGTGACTGTGGTTGGATTTTTAATTGTCGCGCTCTCTAAAATAACGAGTATAAATTGATTAATTAAAAAATGTTTTGAGTTAGTGTGATATGGAGGTTTCAGCTGGCGGCTTGCTTGTCTGAACAGCTCTGATACAACTTGTGCGTTTTGAGTAAGTGACTGGATTCCTACAGGCTCATTGCGAGCACTGAATCCACATGTGAACAAGTCAACCTCTATGTTGGACTGTTTGCAGTTAATTGCATAGTTCCCACTGAGCATCGATAGAATAGTGTTAAATGGAACCGTACTGTTCGGATGAAAATGTTTCATATATATTCGTCAGACAGTTATTTTGTTAAATTATATCAGGAGATAACAACATAGGTCTTATAACAGTTCCATATACACTTAGAAACGTGAAGAAACATACCCAAATGTAATTAGTTCTTGCGCAATTAACCCCTCCGTTCAAGGGAAACGAGTGAAAAGCGTTTTCAAAGTTTCGGATTCACCGTTGTCAGTGTAATCGTTATGATTGCTGTATATTATAAAAAATAATTACAGTTAATTTCGGAACCAGAATAGGTGCCGTTATTTAAAAATCAATTACACGAGGTAGATTGATGTTGATACACCTCTGATTGGTGGGTCAAATTAATGTGACCATAGTTATTTGTCAGATGCGAGTAAAACGTGAACCACACAAGTATATGTATATATATTTTCACACACGTCTGAATCCAGACTGTGGTCCAAACAAATTATAGCGAACAATCTTTATAAAAAGGAAACTGTTCTATGATTTCCATGTGGGCGGAATACTACCAGGTTTCCCAGGCCAAGGCGTAAATAACTCGAGTAGCCCCAATAAAGACTGTCACACAAATAAAATATTGCTGCGTTGAATTCGCCTGTCGCACGAACCGAAAAATTTTCAACAGAAATTCTACATGGTTTCAAAACAAGATAGGATCTCTACAACAACCCTTCACTACATCCTCCTAAAATACGTGCGGTGCGAAAATTTCATGAATCAGTCAAAGTTTGTTTCACTGGTGAGCTGCATTTTCTAGAAAGAATACAAAACCGATCGCTTTTCGACTGGCTTAAATGCCCTTTTAGATGGTGAATGTCTGGATTAGCCCGTTCGGTTTTTCACAGGTACCAGGCACTGTTGATGATGTTCGGTGGGAGATCGGTAAATTCCCATTATTAGAATGCGTTTAAATGCGGTGGAAATGTTTGTGATAACCGACAAAGAGCACTGGACAGCTGTTTCGTCATGTTTGGGACTCGTCAGCAGTGCCTACTTTCGTGTCCCTGAATGAGCTAATCAAAACATTCATCATCCAAATTAAGTGAGCCATTCCCACACAGTGATACCCGTCGACCGTGTAGCTCAGGAGTAAGGGTTTGAAGTCCTAGCGGTTCGAGTCCTGATGGGACACAAAAAGTACGCACCGTTGACGAGTCCCAAACATGACGAAACAGCAGTCCAGTGCTCTTTGTTGGTTATGACAAACATTCCACCGCATTAAAAGGCTCAAATGCCTCTTTATTTTACTGATAGAATATTGTTTGCTCTCCATTGAAGTTGGATACATCACGTATACATTATATAAACTAAGTTCTGAACCACTGAAAGAGCTAAGTCGGAGTCATTGGTGAACTATGTAGTTTGTTAAGTGTCCGCACCTTTTATTTACAAGAAAAATTGTTCTCCATTCACTTGGGATGAATAAAATACAAAATATGACTTCTAGCCGTTGAGTTTTCATGCCATATAGGTTGGTTTGATATCCGGAAACTCAGTAAAGATACCTTGTTTTCATCGGAAGAAGGATTTTAAGATGTGTGATGCGTTGTTAAATAATTATTTATACCTTGCGGGGTACTGTGCGGTCCATTATGATGTGTTCACGACTCCACTGCAAAACGGAGGGATGTGTTTCATAAACGACGTAGGTAGAGGATAAATCGGGTTACATAGAAAAAAGAGGCTGTTTATGGTTTAATCAGAGCCTCCGAATCGGTGATCAAACAATTCATCGGCTAGTTTACAGCTTCTGCCGCTACGATATTGAATAAACGTTTTTAAAACATAAGTTGCCTGTCCGCTTGTTATGTTATCATTGAGCGAATTTTCATAATAGCCAATTCAGGGTCGTCATTTTTCAACGAGATTTAATGTGACGTTGTATTTTACTGCTGTGTTGGAAAATACAATCTATAACTGACCCCAGTTTATTATGGAGTTCGTATAAAATAGACTTAGTTCGACTCTAGGTAAATAAGCAAAACAATACAGACAACGTCCATTTGCAACAGCATATACGTTGACTTCTAATGCCTTTCTCGAACGTAAACCGGTATTCACATGGACTTCGCAGTGGATTTACCAGGTTATTCGTTTGGGGAAACAACTGAGCATTCAAAGAGGATTGCTGCGAAATTCAGTGCATGTAATTGCATCCGGTAGAAAGAGCCATCGGATACATTAAACACACATATGCACTGTGAATTTAAGCTACGTATAGTTCATATGTCTCTGACAGTTATTTGGACCCAGTGTTTGTGCGAAAGCTAGATACAACCGATCATAGACATACCACAAATATTTGATATTATGCGACAAAAGTTAGCAAAAAAGAGGTATTTTTAACTTCATAAATTACAAACTAAGTGGCACGTGTTTGTTTGTTGAACACTGCTATTAAAGTTATCACATTTTGGATAGATTTCAGATGGTAAGAAAATGCAACATATTGTCACATGACACAAGAGCGTGCTAACTAAACGAGGGCCAACCACGTGAAATATTTGATTGATGACGCATGGTTATCCAAAGGATAGTGGCGTAGGTAGATCCAGGAGTTGTACATGTTAATTGGATTAGTCAAGAATGAGTGCACCGATCCCTGAAGCGAGAGTTAGAAAAGAGTCAACACATGTACGCGTAAGCTGAATGGGGACGGGAATTGAGACTAAAATAGGGTGGCGAGTTTTCAACGAATCATTGCCAGCGCGCTTTTGAACTTTATCTGTAAACGTCATTTAAAAAAAGGTTGAATTAACCAAGATCACCACTTTATCAACTCGACAATTCTGAGTTTGGATCATCACCCTCCCCCTCAACATCACCACCACTACCTAATCTCTTTTACTGAGGTTTGGTAGAAGCGACATGTACAACTGAAGCCTGACCGATTACACATGAGCTAATGCCATTGGAATATAAGTGCAGGCATACCACCAATGACGGCGATTACTACCACGCTGAACCAACTACAATGTTGAAAGCATTGCGCGTGGGCGAAACATTTTAATTATCGATCGAAATATGTTGCAGATCCGCATCGAACTATTTCACGTAATGGTTCAATCCACGGCATTTGTGATTCTACTTTTCAGTTGTGTCAATCGCTGGCATACATTCTTGTCTAAAGTGGTATACGAAAGCTTTCATCGAGTGCTTGCGTAATGAAGCGACAGCTAAACTGCCATTAGAGTGATCGAATCTAGACACGCACTACAAGCTACAGTGCGTGTGCGCTAGTGCGTATAATCATACATGTTCTGGAAAGGATTGTCATTATACAACATCCGGGCTACCGAATGAGCCATCGAATAACGCGTTCGTGACAACAGATTAGTTCCTGTTTGCACAATTCGCTCATTTGGCCAGCAGCTAATGTCTACCTGAACGGAACGGGATTCGATCAATATCAAATTCAGCGATTGATAAAGAGAGGAAAGAGTTATCACCATCCATTGTCTCTTGTATTACAATGCATTAATTGCTCCAATGGTCACCTAGAATTAGTGTGTCAAGGAATAATTTATACTGTATGCTTCTTTGATAAAGTGTGCACAAGCATGGGTAGTAGAAAGACAGTGAATGAATTCGCTCTTTTACAGAATGGTGAAATGCGAAAGTTTGGTCAATCGACAGGACGCTGTGCTCTGTATTGGCTTGTTTGGAACTAAATTTTGAAAATATTTCAGAGTAACGAACTAGACTTTTTCTAGGTGCGCTCAGACCTTAAGGACGATAGATGAATCGGTCACCTCGAGCGAACAAAGGGTACCTTAGTTCGCTCATGTAATAAATAACTAAATTGAGATATGGGGATTGTTCATCGTTTTATTCATAATGAATTGATGCACACACGCCATGCTGCTCATGTAAATTTCATTATTCCACGTGAGGCCTTAAGCTAGATATCGACATATTAGTATTCGTCATGTGACTGGACGACATCGCCCCCGGATTATTGAAAATTGGAAAAAATGTCAGCTTACAGGATAACAAGCAACGAAAGAAAACACATGAAGGCGCTCGGTACAGCCGAAAATGGCGTTTAATGCGTTTGCTCCGTGTTTATAAAATTTGTTTACACTCTTTAGATATGA